TTAGAATATATTATTATTATTTTTAAAAAGAGATTATTAAGTTATAAGTTATATTAGATAGAAATTAACTAAAAATTCATAAAATAAGCAGTATATGCACTCTGGGCAATAGACTACTAAATAAATAATGGTTCGAGCTGCATATATTAAGCTGTCTATTTATTCTATTCACGAATATTCATATACTTTCCATTGAGACATCAAAGTCATCCCTTATATATCACCTAATCTATCATGTTAAGGACCCAATACGAGAGTCCATTTACAGAAAGTACTTGATTCATCTTGCTATTCACAATTATCTGTAATCTTGAGCAGCTGTTCCAATGTGTAAGCTAAAAGAGTTTTAATTTGAGTCAACTTGACGCATTCAAATCAGGTTTTTTCGTTGATTTTTGTTCGAATTATTTGTAGGGGATTTTTTGAGTGGGTGCTCAGGTTTTTGGCCTCCGTATGAAACAGTTGTGTGCAATTATTGTAAATGACGTTCACGAATTTATATTAATTATTCTTAATTATAAAATATTTTTTGTTTAAGTCATTAAAGGGCAAGAGTTAACAATTTGATCAGTTTATAAGATAATAAATACTAATTGCCTTTGGTTTTTGTTTTGTTTTTTTTTTTTTTTAGGCCCTGGAACATGAACTCCTCGAGTGGTGACGATGAGGCCCCGAAGGATCCGCGCACTGGCGGCGAGGACTTTACACAGCAATTTACAGAAAACGATTTCGAAGGTGAGTGAACGATTCAAAGTGCACAACGTTGCGTATACGCAATGCATTGGAATGTTGTCAACACGACCTGTTGGCTGATTTTTTGCATGCAAAGTTTGCTCGTTAAACGATTCCAGACACGCCCGCGCATTTGGCGCCGTCGTCAGCTGAAGGTCTTCGTAATACGAAACCAATTCACAAACTTTAAGTAAATAAATTTAGATTTGCAAGCAAAAATACCAGACAGGGTAAGGTCTAAATCGCGATGATGCGCATTTAAAGGGAGACTTATTTAGAGGGAGACAGAAGACAATCAATACTATATCAGTGAATATTTATTTTATGTTTATTCCAACTTTTCATTTTCGAATATTTTTTTCTAATTTATGTAAACTAGCTTTTTCCAAGTGTCATTAATAACTATTAAAATACACTTTGTGCTTAAACGTATAAATTACTCAATTAGAAACGTGATTCAACTGATCCATAACGAAGGATGAATAATTGAGTGTTCATGTGTGGACATGTTTCAAATACTTGAAATATTTATTGACTAGAACTGATTTACGACAAGCAATTTTGTAAGACTTAATATACTTTGATTTTAGTTACGTACTTAAACATAGATAAACATCTAAAAATGACACGAAGTTTAAATAATTGAATCTTGTTCAACTTAAAATTATATTTAAAAAAAAGTACGATAGTATATATATAAAAATTATGGGATTGAGAGAGCAATTTAAATTAGATGGAAATCTATTATATGAAATTATTTATATAGCTCAATGGGATTTGAGTTAGGAGAGTAATATGTAAATTGGTAATGATTAAACTTAGATGAACTTGATAAATACAGAATACAAATAAAATAGAAACTGGAATATATTCGAGAGTTATGTGTTGGGAATTTACTTGAAGTAATTATTAAAAAATACGTTTTTAAATATTGTCTGCTTTATTTGACTAAGCTTCGAATGCTTTAAGCAACTGCATACAAACTTATTGTAATTTAGAATGCTTTTATATTTTGTTTATTTTAAAATTTATTTATCAACACAATTAATTTATATATACTAAAAAAATGTATATGATTTTTAACCGTCACTCATTATCCTCACATTCCACACACAATCGCACTGTATTCTTTTACCTTCACACGCTTTCCACATTATTCTAGTTTGAACCGCTTCTTACACTCTGCTAGTGCATAGTCGTTAATCTGATCAGTTTGCCCAGCGTTTCCTGTAAGCAGTCTTCACTGTATTCGCAAGCGAAATGCATAAAAACGCCCACTAGACCTTGATATACATATGTATATGTATATATTAGAATATATGCATATACATATCTATCAGCCCGAAACATGGTTACATATAATTAATTGAAATTATGATCAAACCGAGATACAGCCGCACAGATGATCTCACAATTAGTCGAGCAAACAACAGACGAGCGACGTTTGCCGAAGTCGTAATGAAAATTGTCATAGGACTGAATTTACGACTAGCACGTAGTACTACTATAAAGAACTGGAAACAAGCAATGTACATATATTATTTAGCTGCAATTAGGCAGACCTGAAAGGCAGCTGAGTCAGCGCATCGTATATACTAACTAACTACTCTCGCCAAAATGACACAAATTATCAGCTTGTCATCAGTTGTTATCAACCATAGAATCTACAGTTAGTTTATTTTTATTTCTTTTTTTTTTTTTTTTTTTTTTTTTTTGTAAACAACGCAAAATTTTACACATTTTCCAATAGATTTACCTGGCGATGCCAGCTAAATGGAATTATGCATGTTATTTGATTTCTCTCTTTTGTTGTTGCTGTTGTTGTTGTTGTTGCCGTTGATGTTCTCGTGTTGGTTTAGCAATCAATTAAGCCCCGCATTGAATTTGTATCCACGCACCTGCAGGACACCGCGCACACACCGTTTACGTGGGCGTCCACGTGCCGGGAGGACGACGCCACTCGCAGCGCCGTCGCAAGCATCACCATGGCGGCAGCACCGGCGCTGCGTCCGCCGGCAGCGTTGGCAGAGACAGCATTAGCGACAAGCAACTGGAAGTGGAGCGTCCAGGTGGGTGCCACACAGCCCCCAAGTCTCTCCCTGTCTATCTCCCCCTATCTGTATAAAGTATAAAATACGAGTTGGACATGCGAGGTGGGATGTGACCAATCAATGTGACAGCGTCCGAATTATAGCAAATTACAGAGCAGCCACCGACTCCGTCAGCAGGATGCACAATTACGGTCATCCAACAAATCAGAGCTGCTTGTGCAACCACTGGGCCAGCAGACGAGCCTGATGAGCTGCATTGAAATGAATATAAACTATATATTTAATAAATGAGCAATTGTAGGAGTGGAAGATGACCAAACTTAAAACTATTTCCTATCTTATAGCTCCATAAGTATATTGAATATATACTTTAAGTCATTTAAGTTATCGAGAATGTTGCAATATCTACTGGGATTTGCCGTGAATCATTTTGCGCCTGTGAAATCTTATCGAAAGTCTTTTGGAGTTGATAATACGCAACGTGATATTCGTTGTGCAGTCTATAGTCATCAGCTATGACATGCCAAATAACACAGATATACTTACTTTTCAACTAAAACAAGAAATCGCTTGAGCCTAGTTTTCCTTTGGTCAACTGCGTAGCATTGTGAGGAATAATAATCTATGGCAAATTTCATGGAAATATAAATCTATATCTATCTAGATTTAATGTGTTGCGAATGTGTCTCACTTAATATTCACATTTTCTAAAAATGTTTTCGCCTCAAACATATCTCTATAAGCTTTTCACTTTATGAGCGAAAATTCTGCTTCAGGTTTATGATAAGCGTTTATGGTTCATTCTAAAGATGCAAACTTGTTTATGAGCTTGTAACTAGGTACGTGCTGCTGTCTAAATATGCTTCAAGAATAAGCACGCAAACACTCCACAGGGCACTTCGGGTGCTCAGCATGTAAGTCTAGCATGCGAAATTTATTTAGGCAGACAATTCGTATATTGCAAAGAAAGTTAACAAGAAGTTAGCAATCATTGAAATTTGTCAAGGAGATCAATTCAAAGTTTAAGTAGCACACATAAGACAATTGAAACCCATTCCAATTGAAATATTCTAAGAACTTCCAATTACAAATCTATCATCATTGAATTACTTACTGAAACGTTTAAAAATTGTTTACTCTTTAACAAGAAGTTAAATCGATTAATATGACTGATATGCTATAACTTGAATCGAATTCCAAATGAAATAGTCTAAGGGCTGAAGCTCAGGTTTTTTGATTGAAAATCTTGTACATGTCAATTTTATATGTTCTTTAATAATACTAAAAGTTAACAAGATTTTGACAAGTAGGTAAATTTATCACGAAATTCGATTCAAGGTTATGTAATTATTATTTAATAATGGAATTTCAATTAAAATATTCTAAGGCCTGAAAGGCTTCCAGCTCAGGTTTCTTATTGGAATTTCTCTATGACTAAATATGCCAGGTGTATGTGCCTAGCACAGAAAGTTAACAAGTAAAGTTTATTTTCAAACAGTTTGATTCATTGCTAAATAATTATGGTTTAATAATGGAATTTCCATTGAAATAGTCTAAGGCCTGTAGAAATTCCAGCTCAGGTTTCTTATTGGAATTCATGTATGGTCTATCATAATTAAATATGCCTACCTGATATGCTCATTTATAATACTGAAAGTTAACAAGAAGTTAAATTTGTGAAGCAGTTTAATTCAGGGTTTATGAATCAAGGCTTCATGATAAAATTCCAATAAAAATAATCGAAACCTTCAAGCTCACGCTTCTTAAAGGAATTCATTAAAGATCTATCAAGGCTAAACAAGCCAACTTTCGCAGTTCATTAAACAACATCAAAACCCCTTACGACAGGCTTAGCCTACATCATTTTAAAGCACGTAAACCATCCCCAACTAACCCACAACTAACTGGCCAAAGGCCAACTGGTCCCTAATGCATGGCCCCTGCTTATGTAGGCCAATTAGACGGGTCGAGCTCAGCGCCCTGGCCGTCTCCTTGAGTGCCATAAACTGTTAAGCAAAACTAATTGCAATCCTCAATTCCAACTGCAGCAACGCCGCCCGCACAACGTGTACAATTCATACTCGGTGAGGATGTGGACGATGGCTCGCATGTGTCGCATCCGCTGTTCTCGGAGATGGGAATGCTGGTGAAGGAGGGCGATGAGATTGAGTGGAAGGAAACGGCACGCTGGATCAAATTCGAGGAGGATGTCGAGGAGGGCGGCAATCGCTGGTCCAAGCCCCATGTGGCCACGCTCTCGCTGCACGCCCTGTTCGAGCTGCGCGGCCTGCTGACCAACGGCACCGTCATGCTGGACATGGAGGCCAGCAATCTGGAGCTGGTGGCCGATCTCGTCTGCGATCAGATGGTCAGCAGCGGCACACTGCCGGCCAACGTCAAGGACAAGGTGAAGGACGCCCTGCTGCGTCGACATCGCCATCAGCACGAGTATGCGAAGAAGACGCGATTGCCCATCATTCGCTCCCTGGCGGACATGCGCAATCAGTCGTCCTCAAAAAGTGAGTATCTCCCTCTCTTTCTGGGTACGCTCAAGTGCTCAAGATCAGGTTACTCTAAGCCCATCTCGTTCGTTTGTTGCGCATCATCATCATGAGTCATGAGTCGAKTTTCGCCTACTAAAAACCAACATTCACTTAAATAATGCCCGCCAATAACCGAATTGGGGTTGCTTAGCTCCGACTGGGCATGCCTCGTCGCCTGGTTTTGGCATGGACGTATGCCGTTCGCCCGTGACGCCCATCTATGTGTCCAGTAAGGATCAGCGTGGTTGTTATCTCGCTGTTCCCACAGGTATCTCACAATTAACCAAACAAAAAAAAAAAAAAAAACAGTTACAGTTGCTTTCAATGCACCGCCAAATGCTCCAGATCCACAACAGCTGTATAGAGAGCACGCACATAGCCGTCTCGTAACTCCGGTCCTGAATAGAAACTCTACTTCGCAGTAGGATCGTATCAATGCCAGCTTAATGCACTTTGACTACGATAAGCATTATCATCAGCCGTCAGCTAATGCATCTCGTATTACCATACATCCATCCATTATTCAGTCAATCACTCAATCACCCGCACGCACACTACTTTAAGTAAGCCCTCAAGCAGCGTTGTGTATTTGCCATTTGCTAAACACCACTTCTAACCATCGCTCGCTCTCGCTCTCGCTCTCTTGCTCTCTCGCCTTTTACGCTCCCATCATACGTTAGCCGACATGGGCGCTATTGGCGTTACCACCTGGTTTCATGCGGGTGCCTCGCCCTCGCATGTCCCATCTAGCCAACAAGGACAATCAGCGCAGCAGCCAGCGATCAGCCAATTGCCAAGTAATAGCCTAAAACGATCTATTCAAAACTCTTTGTATGGTTTTACTTCTTTGCGTAACGTGTACCTACCATAGCACGCTGTACTTACAGATCTATACTTTAAACTAGTTGAAATACTATATCCAACTGTCTCTCTCTCTCTCTCACACACACACACTCTCTATTTCTCTATCTCTCTTATGCAAAATATTGAGATCAAAGCTGAGCTTTCGAAACCCCCTTCGATCAACTTCTCTTAAAATTGCTTTTGTGCTGTCTCACTCACACACTATATACTCGTATAATACTGGGTTCCAGTTAGATCAACACTACCTATTAATACTGGGTTCCATTTAGATCAAAATATATTTCAATATGATGCAGTCGACCTAACGCGAGATTCTTAGAAATCTTTTTGATTTGCCTTTGCGTTTTGCTTTTGTATTTTTTGTTTTTTTGTTTAATACATTTTTAAACCACATAAAAAACAAAAACAATTTACAGTTGAAGAGCAGTCTGGGAGCAATTTAATGGCGACTACGCCGCTCTCGCTGACCGCCAGCGAGCCTGGACCACCTGGCAATACCAATGGCAGTACCGGTGCCCTGGGCATGGGCATGGGGCGGTTTTTAACGGTGCCCGGCAAGCCCAGCAACAGAACGCTCGGTAAAGAACCAAACAAAGAACAACTACCACAAATCTACCCAACTAGCAAAAAACAAAAGTTATCGTTATTGTTATCGTTATCGTTATTGTTGCCGTTATTTCGTTTGCGTGTCTGGTTTTTTGTTGACCTTGTAGCGAATTTAATTGCAACTCGAGCCTCAAATTTAGTTTCCTAATTTTGTAGTCACAGAAAAAAATATAGCTCAAGAAAATCAAGAAATCGAAATGAAAGAAAATTTTGCATGCGCCTTGGCTGAACCTACATTGGAACCTACAACAGTTTTCTAATAACTCTGAGTATGTGTGAACTTGATGTATACCTACATATGAAGAAACAACACCACCTACACACACACACACACACATATGCACGCTTCTCACTCACACCAATACCGTTTTCTGCATGCTCTTTCATCATTTCTTTTTTATCCTGAATGAAAATTTATAAATTAAACTTTTTGCAATTCTATTTTTTGTTTTTATGATTTTCTGTTGTTGTTGTCGTTGCCGTTGTTGTAATGCCTAAATATTAAATAAACAAATTACACAACTCTACCAACAACTCGCACACACTCCAAACACCGAACCGAACCGAACCGAACCAACCAACCAACCAACAACACACACACACACACACACTTACGCACACACCCACGTTTCGTGCGCTGCCGACTTTGACTAATGTAGAGAAAAAATCAAATTCCAAAAATCTGCGGCCCAAACAAAATCTGCCCATGATCACAGAGGACATGGTGAAGAGCCCCAGCAGCCACTCGATGGCCAGGCAGGCCAGCGGCACGGAGCTGGCCGAGCAACAACACAAGGGCAACTCGCACTTCATGCGCAAGATACCGCCTGGAGCGGAGGCGAGCAACATTCTAGTGGGCGAGGTGGACTTCCTGGAGCGCACACTCTCCTGTTTCATCCGTCTGAGCCAGGCGGCTGTCATGGGTGATCTGACGGAGGTGCCGGTGCCAACCAGGTGGGTTGATCAAGACAAACTCAGTTTCTCGATTAGCTGATTCATTTGGACTTCTCCATCAATTCCCGCTTAGATTCATTTTCATACTGCTGGGTCCACCGGGCAGCCAGAGTAATTTCCATGAGATCGGACGTGCTATGGCCACACTGATGTCCGACGAGATCTTCCATGAGGTGGCCTACAGGGCACGTAAGCGCGATCATCTGCTCGCCGGAGTGGATGAGTTTTTGGATGCGGTCACAGTATTACCACCCGGTGAATGGGATCCCACCATACGCATTGAGCCACCAGCGGCAATACCATCGCAGGAGATCCGCAAGCGGCCGCCCGAGCTGCCCAAGGAGGAGRTCGACGAGGAGGAGGAGGAGCAACGATTGCGCGAAGAGTCGGGCCTGTCGCGCTCGGGTCGTCTCTTCGGCGGTTTGATCAACGATTTTAAGCGCAAGGCGCCTTGGTACTGGAGCGATTTTCGCGATGCGCTCTCGATGCAGTGCGTCGCCTCGTGGATCTTCTTGTATTTCGCATGCCTCTCCCCGATCATCACCTTCGGCGGCCTGCTGTCGGAGGCCACAGGCAAGAACATGGCTGCCATGGAATCGCTGGTATCTGGATTCGTCTGCGGCATGGGCTATGGCTTCTTTTCCGGCCAGCCGTTGACAATCTTGGGCTCGACCGGTCCAGTGCTGGTCTTCGAGTCCATTGTCTATGAGTTCTCGATGGCCCAGGGCTGGGACTATATGACATTCCGTTTCTGGATCGGCATGTGGGTCGCCGGCATTTGCATCGTGTTGGTCGCTATCGATGCCAGCGCGCTCGTCTGCTACATAACGCGCTTCACTGAGGAGAACTTCGCCACCCTAATCGCGGTCATCTTCATCTACAAGGCCATCGAGAACGTGGTGATGATTGGCAAGACCTTCCCGGTAAATCAAGGCATTTACGACTGCATCTGCACTGCGCCGCCGGATAGCAATGCCAGCGTGCTCGAGTTTGCCAAGTACAAGTGGGATGCATGTGAGGTAAGTGTGGGAATAGCTTATATAACAATAATCTTCTAATACCCCCTCCCCAAATCACTCTCTCTCTCTCTCTCTCTCTTTCTCTCTCTTTCTCTCTCTCTCTCTCTCTCTCTCTCTTTCTCTCTGATAGCTCTACAATGGTACACTCATTGGCACCGACTGCGGTACTCCACCCACCGAGAATGTCTTCCTCATGTCCGTTGTCCTCTGTGCTGGCACCTTCATCTTCTCGACCGTACTCAAGGAATTCAAGAATGCCCTCTTCTTCCCCTCCATTGTGCGACAGTACATTAGCGACTTCTCTGTCCTGATTGCCATTTTCTCGATGACCTTGTTTGACTACTCGCTGGGTGTGCCCACACAGAAGCTGGAGGTGCCCCGCGAGCTGAAGCCGACACTGAATACGCGTGGCTGGCTGATTCCCCCATTCTGCGAGAAGAATCCCTGGTGGTCACCAATCATAGCCGTGTTCCCAGCAATGCTCGGCACCATTCTCATCTTCATGGATCAGCAAATCACGGCCGTGATTATCAATCGCAAGGAGAACAAATTAAAGAAGGGCTGCGGCTATCACTTGGATCTCTTTGTACTCTCCGGCCTGATAGCCATTTGCAGTGTGATGGGTCTGCCATGGTAAGTCATCAGAGACCGCTGACTCCGGGCATACATAGATCTAATCTCGACTCCCCCATTGATAGGTTCGTGGCGGCCACTGTGCTGAGCATTAATCATGTCAATTCACTGAAACTGGAATCGGAGTGCAGTGCCCCTGGCGAGAAGCCGCAGTTCTTGGGTGTGCGCGAGCAGCGTGTGACTCACATTATGATCTTCCTGACAATTGGCGGTTCGGTGCTGTTGACACCGCAGCTCAGACACATTCCCATGCCGGTGCTGTTTGGCGTCTTTCTCTATATGGGTGTGGCCTCGCTCAAGGGTCTGCAGTTCTTCGATCGCATTCTCATCATGTTCATGCCAGCCAAATATCAGCCGGACTACATGTTCCTGCGTCAGGTAGGAGCTTAGACTCAACGATATCTCTTAGAAACCCATTCTCAATCCTCCTCTTTAAACACTCCCGCAGGTGCCCATCAAGCGCGTACATTTGTTTACTGCCATACAGTTGGCCTGCCTGGTTATCCTGTGGCTGATCAAGAGTTTCTCCCAGACCTCCATACTCTTCCCACTGATGTTGGTGGTGATGATTGGCATACGCAAGTCCCTAGATTTTGTCTTCACCCGCCGTGAACTGAAAATCCTCGATGATATTATGCCCGAGATGACCAAGCGCGCTGCGGCGGACGATCTGCATCAACTGGACGCTGAGGTGGGCTTTTGTCAGAAATATTTACCCTGCTTCGGGGGTCGCGGCAAGCGCGAACCGAAGAGCAGCCTCGATGGTGGCATGGACGTCGGCGCCAATGCCGTCGCCCTGATCAAGTGCAATACCTCAAATGCAAATGAGAAGGAGTTTGAGGCACAGAGTAGTTTGCTCAAGAAGTAAACGGGGCACACCTTGTTTTTGGCACACAAGCACACACACAAACGCACACAGCACACAACACATCACAAATTGAAGCCGGATCGACCGATCTGAAACACTCGACACCCGACAGTGCTGCCCATTTCGTTTGCGTTTGCAGTGCTGCACAGTCCACCACGGATCCCACTTGATTTGTATCTAATTTGTTGGTATTCTATAATGGAAATTATTTTTAGAGATTTTTGCATTTTGTTGTATAAAAGTTGATTACTTCTTACTATTTATATATATATACTTATATCTATATCTACTTTTACCATATTTTTATTCTAACCTTACTCATTCGTATCGAGCTACGAGTGAAGACATTCCGTTATGTTTGTTCTTTAACAGTATTTTGTAAATTTTTGCCTTAATTTTTATCCCTAAATCGTAGCATGCAAATTTTTGCATTTTGTTATACATATTTTTAAAATATCTGTTTTCTCTTACAAAGTACTTTCTATTTACTTTTTAATTCCTATTGTCTTTGTTTTCTATCAAATTGCTCAATGAATACTATGATATTGCAATGAAATCCAAACGTAATTGTACCAAAGCCCATGGCCCCATCTGTATATGCTTTCTGAAATTCTATTATTTCCCAATGCATAACTATTCAATTATGAAATGTGTTATCTTTACTTACTCTATATATATGCCTACATACTACTCTTAACTATATTGTATTTATATCAATACTACCTATATATATCTGTATATGTTAATGAAACCTAAGCTTAAGTAGTCGGCGCTAAATGCGTTTACATGGTGTAAATGTATTCAATGTACATGTTAAATAATTTTATACTCCACAACAAGACCATAGTACAAGTAACTAACAATAGCAAATTACCAAAAAAAAAAAAAAAAAAAAAAAAAAAAAAAAACATTAAATAAATTGTAGAGAAAAAAATAAAAGTATTTGGCAAAACAAAAAGAGAGAAAATGCAATCTAAATTTATAGCTTAACAACATAAAACACCGCATTGGCTCTTAGAAAGAAAACACTCTCACTCACCAAATATCTAAGACACGAAGGGATTTCTATCTCTTTTACTCTCTCTCTATATTTCTCCACCTTCACTCTTTATCTCTTTCACTGTAATACTTTTGTGAGCTGTGGAAAACAAAATCGAAAACAAACAAACAAAATCCATGCCTATGAATGTCTTCTATTNGACCATACTACAAGTAACGAACAATAGCAAATTAAAAAAAAAAAAAAAAAAAAAATTGGCAACCAAAAACATTAAATAAATTGTAGAGAAAAAAATAAAAGTATTTGGCAAAACAAAAAGAGAGAAAATGCAATCTAAATTTATAGCTTAACAACATAAAACACCGCATTGGCTCTTAGAAAGAAAACACTCTCACTCACCAAATATCTAAGACACGAAGGGATTTCTATCTCTTTTACTCTCTCTCTATATTTCTCCACCTTCACTCTTTATCTCTTTCACTGTAATACTTTTGTGAGCTGTGGAAAACAAAATCGAAAACAAACAAACAAAAWCCATGCCTATGAATGTCTTCTATTGAAGGACAATCATCATCAGCCGCCCGCCGGCTCAGCTGGAAGTGTTGCCTATAATATGAAGAGTGGCAACGCTGGTCCTGGCTCTGGCTCTGGCTCGGCTGCCACAACCATACACATACCGTTAACGGGCAACAGCGGCAGCAACAAAATGGGCAGCACTGCTGCGAGCGGTGCGCCAACGGACGTGAATCGCACCACAGTCTGGCAGCAGATCAACAAGGACGGCACCTCCGAGCAGCTGATCATACCCGTTACCGTTAAAGTGCGTCATATCAATGGCAACCAGTAAGTGTATCCGAGTAGTCACAGAGCACCCAATCAAGCAGGCGAGCCCAAGAACCCCAATTAGAGTCGTTTTTGCGGCTAGTCGAGTCAGTTAGAGGCCAAGCTAAACACATTTATAACAAACTTATATACACACACATACATATATATATATATATATACATATATATAAATATCATTCATTTGCATTCGACCATGCTCCTCAGTTCCTCAACCAATGCTGCCCTTTCGCCACGCCTATCGCCCATGCACGAGGCCGATGAGTATAATGAAAGCTCCGCTAACAAGATGACCAACAACCAAATGCTGCCAGCCAATCAGCAACAACAACAACAACAACAACAACAGCAGCAGCCAAGCAATTGCAAGGAGGCGGCTGCCAAGCTCGAAGGTGCCGTTGTTACCACCCAAAGTCCAGCGAACATAACACCCGTCTAAGTGGGCCCCATTTATGGGGCATTATCAAAATTATATACCAAACTACCTAAGCGAACTCTTTCGTTCGCTGCGAACTCACAATGCGTAGAACAAGTGCACAAAGTCGACCTAGATCGTCCGAGAGTGTGAATGTCGAATATCAGTATCATAAAAAACAAAAAACAAAAAAAAATAGATATACATATATATTATATACATATATACAAATTAATCGTAGTGATTTTTGAAAAAGTTTGTAGAATTTACTATCAGCCTAAAGAGACAAACAAATATTCACAGCATTCATTTGGCATAGAATTTGAGCTGAGCTTAAAAAATTTTAGAAGTATTATTAAAAAAAAAAAAAAAACAAATCTGGCTCAGGAGTATATAGCATACGCATTCCAATGAACCATACCATGTATGTTATATGTATAACACTTTTATAACAGCAATTTTATAACAGATTTCATACCAAACCAGTGTCAATTCAAAGCAACATAAACTCTCCTCAAACAATTATCTACTCTATACAAAAAAATATGGTTCCTTTTATGTTTGATCTTAATTTAACACACCCACACACACACACATATAGAGAAACAGAATATGGCGGGCTCGTTTAAAATTTGATATTACATGGGTTAGATAAGCTGTGATCTTATTGTAGGGTGCGGATTTATTGGTGTACGTAATTATACTAGCACATGAGAAATTATTGAAAAGCCGTCTTCAAAACATTTAGCCACAATAACAAATTTAGAAAAAATAATAAAATCGAAAACATAAGCAACAACCACTGTATACAAATGTATTATAATTTTTGCAATTTATACTAAGTTCTGAGACACACATTAAATCTATATCTATATATCTACGTATAAATATTGAATAAAAGTATAAATTATATATCTGTATGTTTCATTTTGTGCGCCCTAGTCTCCTTTTGTTTCAGTGTATTTTGTGCATAGTTCTCAGTGTGGCACATTGTACATACATCAATTCATACTACTAAATAGAGCACTCAATAAGATTTCGTGTCTGCCTGCTCCCATCTAAAACGTATCAAAGCATCTATCAATCAGCCAATCAATCAATCAAGCATCAACTCATTTGCATCGTGTTGATGTCTAAACACTAACCCATTCTAATGCTCGTTAACAATCTTGTATTTTAATGTCTGTGTCCTAGGTATGCTGGCAGAACTCCATAGATCTTTGATCGTGGCTTTGTTCGCGTTTATTAATTCCCGCATTTCATTTTTACAGAACCGAAAATTTGATACGACGAAGCCACTGTGGCATGGATATCATACATCAACAGAAACGTCCGTTTGAGTCGATGATTTAGTTAGCCAGAAAGGGGCATAAAAATAATTTTAAAAAATTATATTTATTGTTAAAAACTAAGAAATTATTTATATGTGTATTAATGGTATTATATATGTATGTATTTATGTACAAGGCAGCGCTACCGTTACCGTCTCCCTCTTCAAATCACTGTGCATTACATGGCACAAAGATGCAGCAAACCAAGAAACATCTCCACACTTAATTTAATTATTGTAATGTTAACATATCAACACACAAAGCAAAACAAACCAAAGCAAAAAACATTTCGATCTCCTGGAATTGATCACGAATAAATATTTTAAATGTGTTTCAATGGACTTTTTAAGACGCGCAATATACATATTCATTAGTGTTTTTTTAATAAAACCCATTTTTTCAATTGCAGCGAATTCCAGACACACTTTGAAGCTGATTTCACAGTGAATCTTAAGGCGAATCTTTCAGCTGAACTTAGAGCGAATATTTCAGCTGTGCCTTGTTAAGGCGAAGCATTCAGCTGATTTCGGAGCGAATCTTTCAGCTGCAGCCTGCAGGTAATTGTAAACATAAACAAATTTAAAGGCGAATATGTCAGCTGAGCTTTAGGCGAATTCTACAGCTGATTTTTGCAGCTGTGGCAATGCGACTATTTCCGCGTGATCTTTCAACTGTATTTGAGGCGAACTTAATTCATTTTCAAGTTATTAAACCTTAAAGAAACTTTTTAGCATGTTTTTCAAATTTTTTGGCTGCATTTCTTTTATTCAAGTCATGAGCTAATTTGTCGTTTAAAAGCTTAATGCAATTTAAATGCTTAAGATTAATATAATAGAATTATATTCTCACTATATTTATTTTAAAGTAATATTATTTTTAGAAGTTTAAATTTCCCCTTCTAAGAATAATACTTTAATATTGCTTTAAAACATTTGCTTATTGTGATAACGTTCAAATTTATTAACTGAATTTGAAAGTATTAAATATGCCTAATCGATAACAGAGCTATCGATATAATGCTATTTACCAGCACTGTTATCCGCGCTATTCAGCAGCATTCTTTACTTTTACCTCGACCAGCTGTTGTTGGTGCGGCACTGAGCGCGTGTTTTTAGTAAAATTTACTATTTTATTAATTAAAACGCCTTAAAAATGACGCTAATTACACGTGTGCTAAATGGCAACCTGCCGTTGCGTCTTAGCACATTAAAAGCCGCTCGTCAGGTATGTATTTAATTGGTATATTATCATTTCCCTAATTTGTTGAATCGGCTCATTATGTAATTTTAATTTGTAATGCATTTTCAGCTGCAATGCGGCTATAGCTCACATGCTAAATACGCAGAGCATAAGCCCATCGAGCGCATCCGCAACATTGGCATCTCGGCGCACATTGACAGCGGAAAGACAACGCTCACGGAACGCATTCTGTTCTATACGGGGCGCATTGCTGAGATGCACGAGGTGCGGGGCAAGGACAATGTGGGCGCGACAATGGATAGCATGGAGCTGGAGCGGCAACGTGGCATCACCATACAATCGGCAGCCACGTACACGGTGTGGAAGGATGTAAACATCAACATCATCGATACGCCCGGTCACGTGGACTTCACGGTCGAGGTGGAGCGTGCGCTGCGCGTCCTCGACGGCGCTGTGCTCGTGCTCTGTGCCGTGGGTGGAGTTCAGAGTCAAACGTTGACGGTGAACAGGCAAATGAAGCGCTACAATGTGCCATGTTTGGCATTCATCAACAAACTAGATCGCATGGGCTCAAATCCCTATCGAGTGCTCTCGCAGATGCGTTCCAAGCTGAACCACAACGCCGCGTTCATACAACTGCCCATTGGTGTGGAGAACAACTGCAAAGGTATTGTGGATCTCGTGCAGGAGCGCGCCATATACTTCGAGGGCGAGCACGGCATTAATTTGCGCCTGGACGAGATCCCACAGGATATGCGCGTCGAGAGTCAGGAGCGGCGGCAGGAGCTTATTGAGCATCTGTCCAACGCAGACGAAACTCTAGGCGAACTCTTTTTGGAGGAGAAGCCCTTCACGGAGGCGGACATCAAAGCGGCGCTGCGACGCACCTGCATCAAGCGCACCTTTACGCCCGTCCTGGTGGGCACAGCGCTGAAAAACAAGGGCGTGCAGCCGCTTCTCGATGCGGTCGTTGACTATCTGCCCAATCCGGGCGAGGTTGAGAATCTCGCGTACATCGAACAGGAGGGCCAGGAGAAGCAACAAATCGTCCTTAATCCGGCGCGAGATGGAAAGGATCCGTTCATGGGATTGGCCTTCAAGCTGGAAGCCGGTCGCTT